GAGAGAGGAGACAGAAAGAGAGAGGGTGAGAGACAGAGAGTGTGTATGAGAGAGAGGGAATGTGTGTGTGAGAGAGGAGTGAGAGAGGAGATAGAGAGAAAGATAGAAATGAGAGAAAGAGAGGGAGGGTGTGCATGAGAGAGAGAGACAGAGGGAGGGAGAAAGAGGAGAGAGAAAGAGAGGGTGTGAGAGTGTGTGTGGAGTGGGGGGGTGAGGACAGAGGTGACAGAGGGAGAGAGTAAGAGAGAGGGAGAGAGTAAGAGAGAGGGAGTTAGGAAGGGAGAGATAGAGAGAAGAAGAGTGGAAGGGAGAGGGAGACAGACAGATAGAGGGAGGGATGAGAGAAAGAGAGAGGAGGTGTGAGAGAGAGAAGGAGAAAGAGAGTGAAACAGAGAGACGCAGAGGACAGAGAGAGAGAGGGGGAGGGAGAGAGAGAGAGAAAAATGGGACAGAGAGGTGGTGAGAGAGAGTGGGGGAAGAAGAGAAGGTGAAAGAGAGAGAATCAGAGGGAGAGGGGAAGAGAAGGAGGGGTGGGATGGACAGAGATAGAGAGGGGGAGCAGGGGGAGAGAAAGAGGGAAGGTGAGAGGAGAGAGAGTCGGAGCGAGAGTGTGTGTGTGAGAGAGAGGGGGAAAAGACGGGGAGAGAGATTTGTGGAGAGGGAGAGAGAGAGACAGGGAAGAGAGACAGAGGGATGGAGTGAGAGAGACGGAGTGAGAGACAGTGGGAGAGTGGGGAACAGAGAGACAGACAAAGGGTGGGAGAGAGGGAGAGAGAGGAGAGTAAGAGCGAGGGAGAGAGGGAGAGTGAGAGGCAGAGAGTGAGAGACAGAGAGAGGGAGAGAAAAACAGAGAGAGGGAAAGTGAGAGAGGAGAGAGAGTCAGAAAGAAAGAGAGACAGAGAGAGAGAGAGACCAAATGAGAGAGAGCAAAAGAGAGAGAGAGATTTAGAGAGAGATTGAGAGAGACAGAGAGAGAGATAGAGAGAGAGAGATTTAGAAAGAGATAGGGAGATAGAGAGAGAGATGTAGAGAGAGATTGGGAGAGACAGACAGAGCGAGAGATAGAGAGAGAGAGACAAGAGAGGGACAGAGAGAGAGATAGAAAGAGAATTAGAGAGAGATAGAAACAGAGACAGAGAGAGAGAGACAGAGACAGAGATAGTAAGAGAGAGAGACGGAGAGAGAGATAGTGAGACAGAGAGAGAGAGAGACACAGAGAGAGAGAGA